CACAATGTACATTGAGAGATTTGAAGGGACTTGTCAGAAATTTTTACGAAAATTGGTTTCTTGTACAATGCCGGTGTTGAGGGTGGAGGAGCAGGGACATCTTTTTTTGCCAAAACTTCCTTTGTGATTTCTTGTTGCTTTAAAATTGAGTCGAAAACAATGGCGTTAACATAATCGTCACTTTCCATCCTGAATTTCATTCATAGCACCACTTTTTTTCATTTCAAAATCTGAACGAGAGAAAAAAATATGAGAAGAAGAAGAACACGAAGATTTTTTGAGGACAAAAAGGAGCCTTCTTATAAGGTAAAAAAAGAAGTTTTCTTTTTGTTTCGAAAATATTCGCACAATCAAAACCAAACCGGAAAAAAAAATCCAAAAAAAAATTCCGAAAAAAACATTGAAAAAAAAAACCCGCAAGCAAAAAAACCCGCAGATGTACGGCGCGATGACGTCACGCCACAAAAGTATAAACACGCAGAGTGCATGCACGCAATGCGCTTTGCCGCATATAGGTCATTCCGCGCCAGCTTGTCACGATTTCCAGTTTATTTGGAGCTAGAGAAACCATTTCGGCGCTTCGCTTCGATGCTCTCGGTGTGCCCCCTTGCGTGCGCCTTTAATAAAACTCATTATTTCCGAACTTTGGAATTTTCTTATTTCACAAAACAGTTGTAACATCAAATTTCATATCAAACTAACCCAAAAGCTATATGAAAGAAAAGCTCGAACAGTCGGTTTCCTTGATAACAATTAAAAATTAATAATTCAATCTTTTTTTGATTTTCTTTTTATTTTTTTACAAATCCAGCACAGAATCTGAGTGTGTATGGTTGAGGCGAAAAAAATGAAATCAATCCATTAAAAACAACCTCGTAAATTATTAAAAAAGATAGAGGAAATTGAAGCAATATCTTAATCAGAAATAATGTTTTATTAAAGGCGCACGCAAGGGGGAACACCGAGAGCATCGAAGCGAAGCGCCGAAATGGTTTCTCTAGCTCCGAGGAAATTTAAAATCGTGACAAGCTGGCGCGGAATGACCTATACAGTACTGCTCGCAAATGGAAAACTCGCTCTTGTCTTAGCACCTTAACATCACATCTGGAGTTTTGCAAGGAACAGTCTGCGGCCCACTTTTATTTATAATACTCATTAGTGACATTATCAGCAATTTATCTGATAATGTTAAGGCCTATCTTTTTGCTGATGATCTTAAAATTTTTTCTGACGATCCTATAGCGCTTCAGCGAGGTCTCAATGGCGTTTTCGAATGGTACAGTCAATGGGGTCTTCACCTGGCCGAACACAAAACCACCCTTCTCCATCTAGGCCTTAGCAACCCTCATGTTCAATATACTATAAATAATATAGCTATCTCTTCTGCGGAAGCTGTTCGCGATCTAGGCATTCTTATTGATAACAAACTAACATTTGAGCCTCATGTTCGTAAAGTTATAGCCTTATGCAAACTAAAAAGTAAACAAATCATCAGAGCGTTCCGCGCCTTGTCTCCCGCTCTATTAAGCCGGATTTTTCTTACTTACGTTGCTCCCTATATGGACTACTGTTTTGAGTTGTTCAGTCCCTCCTAGCTTCAGAACAAACTCTCTTTTTAGAAGAAGAGTCGAATTTTGTCTAACTAGGGAACGTTTTCTACCCCCCGGTTGAACTTCTGCTGAAACTTTGCTGAAGTGTACTTTAGGACTTTAGGACCCCCCGAAATAGCCTATTTTTTTGGCCCAATTTGCGTATTTTTGCACACTTCGAAGCTCCATAACTCGGAAACAAGATCTATTGCGAGAAATTTTCTTGTTGTTCTGGAATCAGGGGGTCCTAAAGTACGCACCAGCAAAGTTTCAGCAAAAGTTCAACCGGGGGGTAAAAAAACGTTCCCTAGTAAGAACACTACATAAAACTTATATTAAGGAGAGTCATTTGCCAGTTGCTCACAGTGTTTTCAGGAGATCAAATTCAGTACGTGCTCCATCACGTCTTATCAGAGTAGGGATTCGTTTCGAAAATTTCTTTGAGACGTTCATCCCTCTATGGAATAATGTGGCTACATTGGGAAACCTCAATGTTTCTCCAGATCGTTTCAGGTCTTTGTTACTATTCCTCGATAACAATTTCCTTTTTGGATCTATTCCCAGCAGACTCCGTTAAAACAGGTACCCGTGCTTCATCCCTACTCTAATCCAGTTAACCGTGCTTCATCCCTACTCTAATCCAGTTAATGCGTGTCTATATCATTAAAACCAATCAAACTCCCCTTTACGTGTGCTACACTGTGTCATAACTTATAACGTTTTCTTTTCTATTTCCTTTTTTTTTAACTTTGTGCAATCCTCACTTCTTATTCTTACCTCATCATCTTTCAATACTGGCTCAGAGGCTCGTGAGGGCCTCAAGTGCCTTTTATTTATTTATTTCAGGCTTAAATGCCAATTTTTTCTTTCTTTTTTTGTACATGTTATTTTGTTCTGACTGTAAATAAATAATATTATTAAAACTTTTAGCCTTGAAACCCAAACAATATGCATATAAAATTGCTGAGGAAAGACGTCAAGAGTTTGTAGATTATTACAATAAACGAATTCAAAATGAAATAGAGAATCCTAAACTTCCAAAAGTTCCAAAACCTGGAGATGAGGTTAAAAGAGCAAAGGAATAAAGAAAAATGTTGTCAAGAAGTTTAAAGTTGAAGATTTTCGAGAAAGTATTTTTAATAAGAGTATTGTTAGAAAGAAACAATGTTGTATTCGAAGAATCAAACAACAACTATACACCCAAGAACAGGAAAAAGTTGTATTTGATAATGAAATGACTCAAGCGAAAATGCTGCAATTCAAAAGAGTTATTATTCCAGATTCTTTTGAGACTCTGGCATATGGCTATAAAAATTGGGATAAAACACTACTTTGAAAATCATATTTTTCTAATAATTTTAAAAGTAATAAACAATAATAACCACAATGATGTGTTCCAAAATCATGAACTTTGAATGTTGAAAGCTCTAATTTATTTTTTTTATTTCTACTCTTGAGATATTCTTGAAGTTGTAAAGGAGGATCAAGTCCGAAGGGATCAAAATAATAAATCGTTTCTTTATTTTTAGAATAACAAACCCAATGAGTACCTTTACCACTAAAAAGAGATTGACAATTCCTACTTCTTTTTTTCTTTTAATTCCTTTACTCGGCAAAAGTATCTATCATAAATACACCTCTGAAGTTTTTTATCTCTAATAATTTCACAAGTTCTAAGAGATCTAGATTTGTTAGTGGTTTCACATTTTTTGAAAATCTCATTTATTTAGCATTTTTTTTATTCACCGTTCTAGCGCATTATTTCGACCATCTCGACCATCCATTTCGACCACATTTTTAAGGTAGCGCATTTCGACCTTTTTACCATTTTTGAAAATTGTTTAAAATGACACATTTTTGAAGAGTTAAGACACAAAATCAATGAAAATAAGCCTTGAAATGGCTTAAAAATGAGAAAATTGAGGATGGGCAAAAAGGTGCGCTAGAACGGCAAAATACATATTATTTCTGCGCTCTCCACGAGCCAGGCACTGTCTCGCGCATTATTCTGTCAGGACCCTTTTTCCGATGGCTCGAGCCAGCCGTTAATCAGCTATATAAGATCAAAGTTTTACGAAGAAATAAACATCTTACTAAAGCTGCAGACGGGGGCGCTTCGCTGGGTAGATATGTTGAAATGAAGTATAAACGAAAAATCGGCAGATAAACGGCTAATAAATACACCTGTTGGTGAAAGAAAATGAAAATTCATTTATTATTATTATTATTTATATCATTGAGTAACTGCGGAGAAGTCTTCCAACAGTGTGACTGCTTCGCGATGCCGGGCGCTCCGGAGCGCGTTGCGGTCGCCCCGGTCTGGCCAGCAGCTCTTTACGATAAATTTCTTTCAATGCTCAGCCAGATTTCCTTTTTATTTCTTTTTTTTTACGATTTGAGCCGTCTTATTTATTCAATATTAGTCTTTGTGTGTGTGCATTTGCTTGTTAAACGCTTTTATTCCCGCCAAAGTCTTTGCCGTCGATGACGTGAGCGTCTTCTAGCGCGTCTTGTGTTGAGATTTCGACGGCGCCGCTTTCGAACTCGAAGACGCTTTCCATGTCACTGACATCAGACATGGATTCTTCGTCGTCGTCGTCATAGTCTACTTTCAGACGATGCCACGGGTAATACTGCGACATGGACTGACGCCGCGTTTCTGGAACCATGAAACCATCACTTGCTACTTGTGTGAGAGCCACAATTGACTATCTTCCATTTGCGAATTTTTTTTTTGGTTAGACTGCGAAAGTAGAGCGAAATACGACCCGCGCCAGCTCTGCACAATACAATTTTTTTTTACGCGCTACAAAACCCTTCCGAAAAAAAAGAAACAGTGCATGCTCACGACACACTACACTATACGGAGAAATATGGGCGGGGCGTCGTAAAAAAAAAACGCAGTGCCCTAGAGGGGTCGGAAAATTGGCCCCTATACGGTTAAAGTTAAGTTGGTCAAGGGGCCTCTAGAGGGGTCTTTCAACTTCATTGAAAAAACTCTTTCAGACCCTAAACCCCTATAGGGACCCCTAAGATTTTCCCCCTATAGGGAGCCCTATTTTGCTCTCTATTGGGGTCTCTTAAACAACAAACCGCTATAGGGACCCTTCAGAAATTCCTCACAATGTAGTCTGTTTTTCGCGATTCGAAAGGGCGGGACTTCTCGAACTATAATTTGGTTTTTCGCATGAAAATGCAATTTTGCATAGATTTTACAATAATTATCGACCAGCATGTCCCCTATAGGTGGCACCAACTAAAACCCCTACAGGGACCACTTTTGCAAGCTTTAGTAGCCCCTATAGGGGTTGGTAAGGTGGTTCCTAGAAAGGACCCTCCTAAGTTTGCCCCGATAGGGACCACTCTGGAGTTACTAAACAGGCTGGTGTTTTTTTTCTGGTTACTTGGATTTTTAGAATAAACCACGATGACTTCTGACATTTGATTCAAAAGCAATAAATGGCCAAAATCACCGGAATCTTGCATGGCTTTTCTGAGCTCCCGAGTCGTTTTACGGTCTTGTGGAAGAAGGTCGGCCACAATCTCAACTCGATCATTTCCCATGTCAGAGGAAAACAAACTTTGAGTATTTTAGGCGTGTTTAGCGTCGAAATCTTGCATCGGTCTTCCATTTGTCGAGTTTTCACTTGAACATTTGTCGTGTCCGATTTTTTGTCATTTTTTAGCATTTGGCTGGAATTTTGTTCGACTCTCTCAGGTTGGAGAAACACAAACTAACGACGCTTTCCGCTTGAGAAGCGCCTGAGCTTGTGGATAATAGCGGATGACGTCGTTCAAGTCTTCCTTTGCCAAAACGAAAAGCGTCGCATAGCCCTTGGCGCGTATGGAAGCCGTCCGTCGATTGTTGCCTCCAATAGCCAGTAGACTGCAGGTTTGCAACAAATAAAAAAAATGTGAAAAAATCGATCTTTTTAAAAAACCTGACAAGGGACGTCATTTTACTTGGCGGGGTAGAATTTTCTATAAATTTGCTCAGACACTCTTCAGTGGTCTAGACTCCCACACAATCGCTGCCTGCGCAAAACTCAAGTTTTTAAGATCTGATTTTCAAAGTCGCGAAATTTTAGTTTCAAGCCTGACTTTTCGAACTACAGAAACAATTATCTCAAAAACTAGAGGCTGGAGCGGGTTGCAACTTTTATGGATCCTCATCTAAACTCTCAGAGAGTTCTTGAGTGAATTTGAAGAAAGATTCAAGTCGCAAAGAAAAATGACTTTCCTTGTGAGGGCCGGCACCTATCGTTATCACCTGATTTCTCCAAATACTGCACCCTGGCCCAGTTCGGCGAAAACGAGCTCGTTCCTCTCGCCGCCAACCACTTGAAGAACTCCTTGGTTCACAATGTACATTTCCTTTCCGACGTCGCCCTGAAGTTGGCTCTCAGAATAAAAAGCACATCGATGAGAGAGTCTCTAACGAACAAAACTCTCCATCTCTCTCTCTCTCAACCTTTCTGCAAATCATATCGTTTGGAAGAAATATGACGGGCCGCAGTTTTAAGACCAAATCACGGAGAAGCGCACGATCGCAATCCTAAAAAAACATGTTTATCAACAACAAAGAAAAAGAAACTGGAAGAAAATTCATCGTTTTCTAACAAAGTTCAATCGAGGTATCCACACTTTGAGTCAATAAATAGATTTTAAAACTATGAAACCCTTCCCTGAAAAATGAAAAACGAAAAGTAAGGAGAGACAAAACTATAAGACCATTAACTTTTTCGATTAAAATTGAACTTTCACCTAATTATCTTCCAAAACTCGAATTTCTGTTGGTAACAACTTTGATCATCTTTCAGCTGCAGATTAAAAAAATCTATGAAATTTATTTTTAGAATTCGAATTTTTTTGACTTTTTGGAAACTTTTGGGCTGTCTGGCTGTTTTTTAGACAACCGCCAGTGACTATTTGGAGTGACCTTTTTCCGCTCTTTTTATTTCTTTTGAAATTATTTATTGACTTTTTTCATGTGCGCATTAAAAAATAGTGGAATGGATACTAAAAGAGCGGTGACCGAACTTTTTAAATAGTCGGTGACGCTTGAATTTATTTCGTCGCAAGAACCGCGAACGCACACGCTACGCGTTTCGCTCTCTGCCCCGCCTCCCTCGCCTTTCAAGTCGGGAAAAATTGGCTTTAGTCCTGGATAAGATTGATCAAAAAATGTTTTGTACATCTGCCAGAATTGTGTTTTTTTGATTTGCCATTCTGAAAAATTTTTTTTATTGTGTTGCAAATAATAGGATTTTTGAAAGCAGGATTTTTCGAATTGTGAAATCCGAAGAAAAAGGTCTGATAGCGTTTCAATAAATTCATTTTCCGCTTTTTCTCAGCACCCTAAGAATCTTAGTAAATGGAGTTTTTGTTAGTGGAAGATAATGCAAAACAAAAAAAGAGTGAGGCGTGGTCAAAACCTCTGCCGGCCGTTCCCATGTGACGTCATGGGAAACAATCGTAAACAAATGGGAATATTAAAGGCACGTGTTCAATGAGTCATGAGACGAATAGATTTTTCATTTTAAAAAAAACGTAATTCTTCTGTTGCCGTGTTCGAAGTGATTCAAAATTACCGCCAGGGAATGAAACATATATATGAATTTCCGAAATCTATGAATTATTTTGAATTTCGCGACGGGACGTCGTCAAAAAAAAAAACGCTGTGAGCACAAAATTATTATTTTTCATTAGTCCCCTAGAACCCACCATTGAAATTCAAACCCAATTAGTTCATTACTAACTCAGTACTCAATTAAAACAGAGCCTTCAACGAACCTGAAAAAGTTGCACCTTACTGAGAGTGTTGTAGTGGACCGACAGAGCCAGGTCGGTTTGAAGTTTCAAAGGCAGCTTTTCAATCAACTTCTTCTCATCTAAAAGTTCAGTAATTTTTTTCTCAAAAAATCGCCATGATTATGTTGTATGAAGCAATAATTTCACATCGAGAATGCAAAGTCAAAAAAACAAAGAAAAAAGAACCAAGTGTCTTCTGCTGTTGCCAGGTGTAGATGAACCAGTCGCGTACGCGGTCCGTCAGATCTTTTGGCAAACCTTAAAATTGGCTTCGCATTTGGAAACATATTCATTGAATTTTTGAAAAAAATCTTAGGCTACTTCAATCGTTTACCACACAGCTGCAAACAACAAAAGCTACCAAGTCGTTTGCATTCTCCCAAAGCTTTGTCCATCCTTCGCTGAAACTCTTCTCGATTTCGGTTTGCGTTAGAGACGATATCCCGTATCTGCAAAGAGTCTTTTTGAAGATATTGAAAAAAATTCTAAGAAAAAAGACAAGTTGTTTTTTTCTTCAAGAAATTCAAAAGAAAAAATGAAAAGCTCACCTGACCCAACAATAAGGCGAAAACGAACACGCCCATCATCCAAGAACATGTCATATAAATGTACCTGTGAAAAAGTAGCATTCTCGGGCAAAGTCTGAATGGTTGATAATGGCGCAAAAGGATCATTTCAATGGATTCTTTTTCCACCCTTCCGACTTTCCTGTGTTCAACAAAAATACTCAAACGTTTCCAAAAGCATAATCGATTTCAACTAGTGGAACGAGAAAACGCATAATATGCAAAAAAGCGAGGAACATGTGTTGAAACGAGCAAGTTTTGCCTACATTTATTATAATTTGTTGTATCACAAAAAAAACTAACTCAATGACATTTGTTGGTGCAGGATTGTTTCCAGTAGAAGTGGCTACCGCTGCGGTAAAGTAAAAGCAGCGGATGTAGGCATTTCCTCCAATTATTTTCTTTTTGTTGTTACTTTATTCAATTATTGGCATGTTTCACTATCCATCACGAGAGCTCAGTTATAGTCTGATCAGATTTGAATGTAAACTACATTGACGTCATTCAAAAACGCTCTGTGAATGGCTTGATCTCTGATTGGTTTGATTTACGAAGAAGGGGCGGAGTTTGAGCGATGACTTGACATTCAAGGCGATGACTTGACATTCCCGGATTTTTGGTGGTATGAAAAAAAAAGCCAACGAATTTTCGAACGGGGACTTTACCAATTTTTTCATACCGCTAGGGAACTTGCCGACGGCCACCTTTCCGACGGATCCCTTTCCGACTTTTTTCCCATATATTTTTTTGGTTTATAGAACATCTATTAAATTTTTTTCCTATTTCCTTGTGTTTTAATCATAAATAACTAGCCTACTTTATATAGATGTTTCAAAACGAAGAGTTTATAGAAAAAAAAGTCGGAAAAAGATTCGGCGGAAAGGTGGCCGTCGGAGAGTTCCCTAGCAATATGAAAAAATCGGAAAAGTCGCCGTTTGAATTTTCGTTGATCTTTATTTCATACCACCGGATTTTTCAAATGCTTTCAATGTTTGTTCTCGAATCAAATACTCTTCTATATGCATATTTTTCAGCAATAGGTTCTCTTCGAAAAGAATATCTGAGAATTGATTGTAGGACAAGGCCGTTCAATTGGCTTTGACGAACTCGAAAACATCTCGCGTTATTCTCGGGGCGACCGAGCATTTCTCTCGATTCTGCACACAATCGAAATATGAAAAATTTCGAAATGAGAGGTCGTGCCGAGAAAAATGCAAGAACCGCACAAAGACAGAGCGAGACTCTGGCGAGCCTTTCAATGCCAATTGAACGGCCAGAAGTAACACTAAAAATAACTGGGGAGATGAACGCGATGTCGCTGGTCATACACTGAAGGACCCGCAAACATCTCGCTCTGGGTAGTATAAAAAATTGAAATGAGAAAAAAAAATCGTTCGAAAGTGTCCACCTTGGTTGTTGTACACCCATTTGTTAAGGTACCATTTGCCGTTCTCATGATAGGCAATCTGTCCAAAAGCTTGCAGAGCGCTCAGTTTGTAGTAGATGCAACTGTTGCAGTGGATAATGTAAATCATGTAGGACAAGGTTCGGGCAATCCTGCATTTTTCAATATTTCGAATATTATTCGTATATGCTTGCAATTATTTATCTGGCTCGAAAAAAAAAGAATTTTTAATTTTTTTTTGTCATCACTTAGGAATCCGAGTGGTCCCTCTGTAGAGACAACCTTAGAGGCCTTTGGAGGGTCTCCTTTAGGGACAATTTACCAACACTGTAGGGCCACTAAATCTTGCAAAAAAGGTCCCTATAAGGGGTTTCAGTTAGTGGCTCCTATAGAGGACATTCTGGTTGATAATTGTTATGAACTATTAACGGAGAAGCATTTCCATGGAAAAACTGAATATATGAGCGTTTTTTGGATGAAATTGAGAAACCCCTATAGGGATCACTCAAGCTTTAGAAGCTAAAAAGTCAGACTCTAAGCCCATATAGGGATCACCTTTATTTTACCCCTATAGGAACCCCCTTTTCGATTCCTACATGTGGTTCCTATAGGGACCAGGGATGCACGAGACACGATCTCGTCTTGAGGTTTTTTTTTTCCAAAAATTTCCGCGTCTCGATCTCGTCTCGAGATGAGAAAACCTCGTCTCGTGTATCCCTATTAGGTACCACTCTTGAATTCCTAAGTATGATTAAGAAAAATTCATGAGAACTGTTCTCTATGCAGAAAGCTTGAAATTTTAGTATCTTTCTCCAACGACTATGGTTAATACTCAACGAAAAAACTGAAAGTGTGATACCGAATGGCGTAAGGGTTGGAGAACGAGTTGTCCAACATGTCAAAAAGCAGCCAGAACGAGTTGATCTTTTTTAATAATTTTTTCTTTGGTTTTGAAAATCAACGGTTGGAAACCTTGAAAATACGGTTGAGACGCCAAATGGGAAGAGTTCCGAAATAAATGTAGAAAAAGTCGGTCGGCAGAATGCTGATAATGTCGAGTTTGAATGTTCGCGTCATCAGGTAATGACGTCGAGTTTCTTTTTGTACTTTCTGAATACGCTCAATGCGAAAGGTCGCATCATAGTAGTATGGAAAAGTTTTTTTTTGGTAATGGAATAGAAATCCATGTGCTCATCGTGAATTATTTTGTTATCTCGAGCAATTGGCTGAACATGCGCAATATTCACATACCGCCAGGCTTGTGCATCCGGCTAGGCGGCCTGCTGCGGCCCGGGGTGTGAGACTCATGGGCCAGGCCAGACAAGCCTTCGATTTTTTGAACTTCATTAAAGAGTTTTTTATCTGAGCGCAAAATTTTTTACCGCAAAACACTTTTTGCTTATTTGAGCATAGTTTCTATTGACTTATACTCCAATACTACGAAAGAAGGACCTTTTTTCGCCGAATTCGCGAAAATTTTCTGTTCTCTTTTTACCATGTATATACTTCGCAACTTCTTTGGTCACTTTATCACTGAAAAAAACGAAATTTTAAAAGTTTACAGGTTTTTTCGTCGTCCGAGAACGGTGGTATGAAAAAAAAAACCAGCGATTTTTTGAACAGCGACTTTCCCGATTTTTTCATATCGCTAGGGAACTTCGGAAAAGTCGCCGTTCGAAATTTCGCTGGTCTTTTTTTCAAACCACCCCGAGAACACCCTCTGAAAGGGAAAACTGAGAAATTTTCGAAAAAACTCGTTAGTAACGACTGAAATTGGGGACCGCTCCTGTTTTGAGAAAAAAAAATTGGGAAGAATTTTAAAAATTTTGATAAATTTTTTCTAACGAAAAAATAGCAAAAATAAATTGCGTTAAAAGGATGACCATAGTCTCCGCAGTGCTAGCGCGCTAGCCACTACACTAAGCGGCCTACTGGAAGGGGAAGGGTAGTTCCCATGTGAGTGCAAGCCGAGCAAGGACTCACAACTTGTATGCCGCCTCGCATGAATCGTAGTCGCGGTTTGATCATGATCATGTCGAAAAGGTAGATAAAATCGGCGATGCAATCCATACAGAACCAATAGATCCAGTTTGACGAGGTCTGGTAGGGATAGCTGCTCCTGAAAAAAAGAGAAAAAAATTTCTCAAGTTCTGTGTATTTAAATGTGTAGAGAAGTCGTTCACTGGAGAAATGTTCATTTTTTGTACATAAACAGGAATGGAAATGCAGACCTCAGGGGGATGCAAAAAACATTGTAGAGGAAGGCGAACGTGACAATGGCCAGCCACGTCATATAAAGGCGTCCTAAAATTATGAGAGTTTTGCGCGGATTTTATTCAACTTGGCCGATAATTGATAGCGAAATAAGACCGGCTATCTAACCGGTAGAATACGCCGGACTACCTGGAAGCAATCGCAAATGTCAATTAGGATAGCGATAGAATCCAGACTCCTCTCGGATAGTATCCAGAGACCATCTCTATAGTAGCTGCACAAGAAAACTGAGAAAGGGTATTGTGATACTTCCGGATGTATATCGATGGGTCTTGGGACCAACAATGGTGCCACAAATATATCTCTGCTGAATTTGAGCAAAAAGCGATAGACTAGAGGTACATCCTCAAGGACCTCTGGCTTAGAGAGCGGAAGGTATGTTAGAGGTTTCGCGAAAGACATATTATGGGGTGTTCACCGTCCATTCTCAGAAGTACAGTACCGGAAATGGGTGAGTATTTTTTTTTTGGTTTTATGTGCGTAACTTTGTCAAAAAAAAAATCGTTTTGACCTGAAATTTCGATGCGCATATTTATGCCTGCGCCTTTACTATAACAGAAATTTTAGGCCAAATAAAAGAAGAAAGCCGAGAAAAATCCTGCGCGCTTCTATTGGAATGAATCTCTAGCTCGGAGGGAGAAACGAAAGGAGATTGATACTCATGACGACCGTACCCTAGTCAGCCTACATGAGCTGAATTCTTGTTTCTGGTCAGTTCTTGCTCACAATAAGCTTCAATATTCAACTTCGCGTTCTCTATCTGCGCGCCTAACAAGAATATTTAAAATTGATCAGAGGCTAGCCCAGCTGTGACCTACGGCATCTGCAGAAAATGCTTTTTTTTTGGTAGACTTGCCGTATGGATGTATCGTGTCAGTGAGAGTGAGCCCAAAAAGTGTTTTTGCCGAAGAGCCGACCACGGCACGGGTCGGCGTTTCGGGACGTTGCTGCAACGGCAATCATTACAAGAGCTTTTTTTCTTGCAAGCCTTGGACGATCAACAGAAGAAAAAACCCACCTGCAGGCCAATCAGAGACATAAGACTTGGCCGATGAACCTCTTGCTTGACTGTGTTGGCCGAGGCCAACGACTCGGTATCTTCTGGCGACTCTCTCATCAAATCTTGTCGCACTGCCGACGTGCGTCGATGAACCTAACGTTGCATGTTCATTTTTTTATTTTATTCTATTGTTCAATCTGCGCTTTATTCGTAATATTCCAAGGCTTGGAAGGCGGCAAGGCTTTTTGGCCAGAAACTCGAGATGAGAAGCAAACCACTTTGATTCATGATTCTCTCTTCTTTTTTTTTTAAATGACATTTTTGCATAATTGCGTGAGCCCCGTTATTTTTTTTCTGTTTTTTGTTTTTGATGTTTTCTCACATGCTTTGAATGATTGCGTTGAGTATATGACTGAGTTTCAGGAACAAAATAGCCGTTGTTGTATGAATGATGGATACACAGCGTTCTAAAGCGGGGTTCCCGCCCCTTTTCTGAAAAGCATGCGGACGTTGCATCAGTGGGCGTGGCTAACAATCGTCTTTTTCGCGTCGTAATTAAGAGTCCGGATTTTTTGATTATTTGAAGGCTAGCATTTTTTTCCTGACATTTATAGTTTCCAAGTGTTACTAGTCATTTCTTATAACTCTCTTAAAATTTCGCAGTTTGATTTCTTGTGGTTTGATTGGTTCAAAGGACTACATAATTGTTCTGTTCACGAAAGTTGAAATTTTTGACTCAGGTTTGATTTTGTATTCTTTTTTTTCCTGTTTAAGTAATTGAAACCTGATATTGTGATCGATTCCTGGAGTTGAAATTTCGATTTTCGGTTTTGTCTCTTAGGTACAGACCAATTGCACCTTTTTTTGAATTTTTTCGTCAAGTCGAAATTTTTCTCTTTTGCGCGGACACTGACAGCTTTTTTTTCATGATTATTAGTTGGAAACTGATATTTTGATCGATTCTTGGAGTTGGAATTTCGATTTTGTCTCTCGGATACAGTATTTTCTTTTATAAACAACTTTTCGACACATTAACGAGCTATGGACACTTTGAAAACTTTCTAATACGTTTAAAAACATTAATTAAAAATTTACGTGCATAGAAACAAAAAAAAAGATTTAAAAAAAACAATAAAAAAAAGTTAATAGCATGTAAATTGAAGAAAAAAAAGCACCTTGATTTTGATTAACAACGCTCCAAGTTACGCGCTCCATTGAGAATAGTGTGCGCCTCTTTTTGCGTAAACCCTGTTTTAGAACGCTCTGGATAGCCGCGGGCAAAAAACCTCAGAGCCGAGAAAAAATAGCCTGCACAGAATAGTCTCCCCAGATTCACCACCGGAGGAAGTGCGCTCTGGATAATTCGAAAACATTTTAATGCAGAACAATGGATGAAAAGCTAAAAATGTTCCCCCATCATATACCGGAAAGCTATTGAGTTCAAAAATACTACGAAAAAACGGAAGTTTACAACGAAAGCTCGGTTTTTTTTAACTAAAATGTGTTATGAGATTTTTGGATTACATCAAGACTTCATTTCGCTTTGAAAGTGCTTAGTGACTTTCAAAACAAAAAATTTTTTTGCTACTCCACCTAACAGCTTTCTGTTTTTCGACTATTCAACTTGCATTGGTTTTTTTAAAATGTCGTTTTCACTATAATCAGAACAGAAGTAAAATTCAGAAAAAAAAACAACTTTCATTTTGTCCTAAAGCAAATTTACTCTGTGAGCCTGAGCGGCTATCGTCCGGGCAATTTCTTTCCGCCGCTCAAATTTCTTGGTTATTCTGTCATATAATCAATGCAAATGACCTCGGGATTCTGCCAAACGCCGCGTCACATGAGCAACAAGTAAATCTTGCCTTATCGCCTATCAACTCGGGAAAGTTTGACCAGCATTTTTTCTTCCAATAAGTCGCAGACCTCTTTGGCTAGCGAATGAAGCCGTTCTTTCATGATGAAAGAGAGCTGAGATTGGATGTCCTCGTCGCCGTCGCTCTCGGCCAAAATATTTGATCTTTCTGACGCGGAAGAAACGTTCAGCGACATGGATCGGACCATTGACAAGGGTTCGTCACCTTGTTTTTCTTTCACATCTGATTAAATATTTTTGATGAGGAACATTTTTTTTCGTTAACCATTTTTCACATTTCTCGCATCGTAGTCGTCGTCGTCAGCCGTTTCAATCTGAATGGCGACTCCGCCGGCGTTGTTCGAAGAGAGGAAAGTTGTAGCATGATTTCTAGCGACAGCCGCTAGCGTTGCCAGTTGAGATGGTGGCTCAGGTGTTGGTTCTTCAGGAGTGGACAAGGTGGGCGTGCTTAAGCGAAACCGATCAACATTTCTGATCAAAATGGCGGTAGGTTTCACCTCATGACATGACTGGAGGCGCTTCGTGAACTTTCTTGTTCTTCGAGATGTTGGGGTTGACTCTGCTTCTGGAATGTTGCGGTTTTTTTTTCTCTTAGAAATGATTCCTAGTGCCCCTGTACTTGTACTTTGAACATCTACAGAGGGAGGTGGAGAATCGGACGGGACGCGTACGCGTTTCTTTGCATTATTTCCATTTAAGCGACACCGACTGTTTGGCGCTTTTTCAGCGCTCTTTTTGTAATTACTCTATGCAATAGTGAAAAAAAAAAATCAACACAGAACTGAAAAAGAAATGAATAGAGCGATAAATTAGCTCTCCAAATAGTCGGCAACGGTTTACTTGAACTCTTTCCAAGAACCACGTACGCGAACGCTACGCTTCTCGCTCCCTTCTCCGTATCTCTCGCCTCTCAATTCGGGAGTAATCGACTATAAAATCAGGTTTTTTTTCCACTCACGCCATCAAACATGATTGAAAGCCGTCGCCAATGGTGTTTGGGTGTGAACGTGAGAAACTTGCCGGGTACGCGAATTTTCGAATCTTCTAGCACGTTTTTCGACATATGCTCTTGAAAGAGATGCTCTTTGGTACAGATGTGCGAAAATAAACTCGTTTTTAAAAAACACGGACATTAGGTATCAACTTTGGCTATCCGAAAAAAAAAACCTGTACGAACGTGAGATGTGTAAGCGTCAGAGATGGGCGGAACTGAGATTTTTAGTTGCGAAATGCTAACGCGGAATGCGGAATAAACTTCTTAGGTTTGTCACGGCGTTTTTGTTAATAGAAAAAAAAAAAATGCAAAACCAAGAATGAAGGGACGTGGTCAAACTTCCGCTGTTCCCATTTGACGTCACGAGAAACAAGCGTAAACAACAAGGAATGTTAAAGGCGCATGTCCAATGGGTCATGAGACGAATTGCTTTCTCATTTAAAAAAAAAACGGTATTTTTCTTTTTCCTTTTAAAAAAAAACATGCCGTGTTGAAATTAATTTCTCGAAGTTCAAAATAGCCACTAGAGAGTGAAAAATATAATTGAATTTCGGAATTTTGAGCTTCGCAAAAATTCTTTTGAAAAGGGAATGTGCAAGAGCGCCGCAGTGCATGCACACGACACACTACACTTCATGGGAAATTATAGGTGGAGCGTCGTTAAAAAAACGCGTGTGCTGATTAGGTTTTTTTCGTAAAGCCGAAGCCTTGTTATACAAGGTCAGAACGGGAAGTTCAAAGTAACTTGAAAAATATGATTTTTCAAATCTCAACAGAAAATTTTCATTTTTTCGACTTTTGGTTTTTTTTTCACGAAATTCCAGTTTAACTTGAGCAAATAAGTTCTGCTTGCGGAAATGATTTATTGCAAAATTATTTAAATGTGTGCAAAGTTTTAAGACATTTGAACTACATTCAGAGAAGTTATGCTCAAATATAGTCAATGTTTCCCGACTTGAAAGGTGATATGGGCTGGTTGGCAAGGGCGAGGTGTTGCGTGTGCGACGCGGCTATTTGGCGGCGAGCCAAAATTCAAATGTGGGAGACAATTTGGAGAGTTCGGCCACCGCTTTTTTATTTCCTTTTTTCTTTTTCTTATTCAGTTCTAATGGAGTTTTTCGATTTTATTTATTTTCTCAATGTAATATTGTAAGCGAACACCTTTTCTGTGTGTTTTGCATAGAAAGTTTCTCGAAAGTGAAGCGAAACGTGAAGCATTTTCGGAAAACTTTTCGCTGGTTTTTGTTTTTTTCGTTTTTGATAAACTTCTCAATTTTCTTCTCAACTCATCCCTCTAACATCTTTATAATTTTTCTGTTATGATTGGTTGCAGGTCGTAAGAAGAGAAAAATTCGTGAGAAGCTATGGTGTTTGAAAAAAAACACTTCGTTGATGGCAAACAGGTTCGTTTCAACTTGTTGAAATTTCTCATTGTCATTTTTCAGCAATTTTTCTTGTTTTAAATTTTTTTTTTAAGTCCAATAAACTCTAAAGCTCATCGCTGGCCTTGTCGGGCGAGAAATTCCATTGGAAAAGGCATCGTCAGAAGAAGGAGACACGTTGATGAAGATCGGTCGCCGTTAGAAGAAACTTTTTATTCAATCTGTTTTGGTTAGGCTTTTTTATTGACGTATCATATTATCCGTGTAGTTTCGTTGTTCATATAACACTGGCTTCAACCATTGTCCACTTCAGCGGCATCAAAACGCTGTTTCCGTGATTTCATTCATTCATTCTTAATTAATCTCCGTTTTCATCCATTTATTCTCGTTAGAACAATTTCAAAAACGTTTTAAACAAGTTTATTGGAAGGAAAAGCGAAAGAACAGGTTAACAAATCGTTGGGTGGTTGCTGATGCAGTACAAAAGAGACTTCATGATGTTATCTGAAAATTAATATTTATTACATAAAGAAAAAATTAGTGCTTGGTTATTAACTCGAAAATTGCATGTCCGTTAATGTAAAATTTTTTGGCGAACAATATATTAACGAACTTTTTCAGGAAAATCTAAGTATTTACTGTAAGAATAGTTAAACCAAGGAACAGAAAGAGAACAGAAACAAAACCTCCAAACCTTGGTAATCGTTCGTAACTCGTTATTTTCTTTCTCCATTCCGTAAAATCACTGCAGAAATCCTGAAAATCTTCAATTCAGATAGTGAACCGACTCCATAAAAAAAAACCTTTTTTAAAAATTGTTATTGATTCGATAAAATACTTCGCAAAACTCCGCGAATGGTTACTTCTAAAGGTTTTCACTGCATGCAAGAAAAAAGAATGAATGAATTTGAGAAAAAAAAAGCCATGACCTTTATTGAAAATCGACTCTTCGTGAAACTCGGTGTGAAACCCTCAACTTCTGAGTTTTTGAAATTCTTCAATCGTATTTTGCTTGGTCTGAAAAGTATCATCAATGAATAAATACAGTAAATTTTTCACAGCACAGAATGCACAAGTAAAAAAAAATCATATTCCAACAAATCAACGAGCAACGATCAACTTGAATAAACATTTGTTTGTGCGAAAAAATATTATTATAGGTTCAAATAAAGTTCCAATAAATTCCACTGAAGCAAATAATTAGCGAAAACATTATAAAAACAGAATAAGAAAAAGAAAAAAGGAAATAAAAAAGCGGTGGCCGAACTTTCCAAATTGTCTCCCACATTTGAATTTTGGCTCGCCGCCAAATAGCCGCGTCGCACACGCAACACCTCGTCCTTGCCAACCAGCCCATATCACCTTTCAAGTCGGGAAACATTGACTATAACCCTTTTGGTACTGTATGTCCCAATTATTATTTCTACATTCATCAATCCTTCGTCTATAATATTGTCAAGTTTCATTAGGAAATTTCACTCAAGTTAAAGATTGCAATCCTCAAAAATCACCGCATCATCATTTTTCCCCTGCAAAATTTTGATTATCCGCCACAGCGGTTCAGACCTACAGGGGCTCGTCCGGTTTGCACTGCGCCGTCTCCGCTGGCAATACTATACCATTTTCGATAATTTTTTCTGTTTATTGAAATGAACAAGGCTATTTCCAACAATAGTAGATAAAAAACTACAGAAAAAAAAGACTTACTAAATACGCATTCCCCAAATTAGGCCATTTTTAAGGCTTGCTAGCGTTTGGAAAAACTAAACTGTTACACTCAGACTGTATCATTGAATGTTCTACTTGCGTTTTTGTTCAAATCTGTTCATATTTTCTTACAAAAAAACTCGTTATTAACGAAGATATCGCCCAAAACCGCGATTGGTGTATGCGTTACTCATTGAAGTGATTACAGGGGATGTCTACTGTGGTCTTCAAAAATCAGACATGTGCAAGCCATTTTTGAAGGCCGCCCTGAATTAGAGCTAATACTACTTCTTTGTAGCTAAAAATTGTTTAATTGAGACCAAAAATACCTCTCTGAGGTGAAAACTAAATTTCATTCCTAATTTTTCCAAGTTTTTTGTAAGCCGATTTCCTCTCTCGGGCTGAATGAGCTGCGTCCTTGCTAATCTATGTCAGAAATTCGTCAACTAGGTCGCTTTGAAGTTGAATTACGGTCGTACTTCTAATGCTTCGAGTCTCAAAAAATGTCACATTTAACGTCTATAAAGGACAGTAAACTGACAGGAATTAATGGATGCTTAGATGGAAAACACGTGAAGATTCCCAAAAAGTTGTGGCAAAACTAATCTCGATAACCTGCGAGCCGCAGTCAATTTGGGGTCACAACCTTTTCGAGCCGTTGAACATACTACAGAGTATTTTTTTGAAAATGTTCTGATATTATGTAATTACAGACCTGTAAAATGTTTTCTGGAGAAATACAGTTTTAGTTTTTTTTTGACTTTTCTTATGCGAACGCTAGCTCTTTCTCGCGAGAAAAGTTTGTTCTCTAGTTTTATGGGATGACTATGAATAGAATTATCATTATAAGAAGGGATGTAGTAATCAAAAAATTATTTTCCGCAAAATGAGTCAACATTTCTTGGCAAAGGCCAAAAAAAAACTTCAAAAAAAGTGAGGAATAAGAAAAAAGAAGAAGTAGAAGGAGATGATGATGATAAGCAAAATGGACGAGAGCTGCGCGGGGTAAATGACACCTGGAAATGCGAGTGATTACCCGCCTATTCACCGGAAATTTCTGAATAGCAGTCAGAGATCATTATCTTTCTCTCGCCCGTCTGCAAAACGCATTCTGCTAATCTTGCTCGTATGCTGCTTGTTTTTTCAATCTTAAAATTCTGCAGTTTACAGTTGATAATGAAATAGCTTCCTTGGATAAAGCAACTCGTCATAAAAGAAAAAATTGAGGATAAATTCGCTGCTGCACTTGGTTGATTCATCTACAGAAAATATATTCTGAAAAAAAACCCTCCGACTACGAAACCGACAAAAAGTCGTCTTGTAGGAAAGAAATTTTAGTTCCAATTCAACATGAATGAACTTTAACAGAATGAAGGGCTCTTTTGAAAAGTTGAAAAACTAACGGGAAAAAATCAGGAAGAAGTGGCTGAAAACTAAGAAAAAAAACCTGCCGATCGACCATTTTGAACTGTCGACGCCGAATCTCCTGCGCCACTCGGCTTAAGCTGATCGTTTTCAACTTTACGGCATTCTCTGTGCCTGAAAAATTTGCAATTGAAACTTTGAGAATATTCGACAGACCCTGATTCAGATCAATTAAAGGAGATGTATCACGGCCGCCGCTCGTCAATGCCGGGTCGTTTTGGTTTTTCTCGGCCATTTCAATTCCTCAAGGAAAAAACTTCAATTGAAAAAATTGGGTTTTTCTTTCGTGTTTAATTTTTTAAATAATCCCATCGAGTTTTTGTTGACAGGTTTGAAAACTAGATTATTTTTTGACAACGAGGATAGGCAAGGTCGCCGATTTCCAGTCAAACTTCAAAAGGTTGATCTGATTTTTCGCGCACACATGTTTGAGACAAAGCTATGTCGATCGAGCTCAAGACGAGTCCAAAACTATTCAGAAAAAAATTAATATTTTTCGATCAGAAAGCACTTGGAAACGATTAAAAAGCAATAATATCGCGAAAAAAAGTTTTTTTAAAAATTAAAAAGAAATGATAGATAAGAAAGAGCTCCAATGGTGTAAGGCTTTCGAGACGCGATCTCGTCTCGAAAGCTTCCCGCTATTTTTTTTTTTCAGAATATGATCTCAATCCAAAGCGAAAGGGATGATAAAGACCTCCAGAGGCAAGATTGGCACGCGACGCCTCGATTAACGCCAGGCTTGGCTCCGTGAGCTCCTCTTCGAGTGACGGTGTGAGAAACCCATCGGTTTTTGAATCGATCTAAAAAAAGACAGAAAATGATATAGCAGAATCTTTCAATCAAAGGACTTTCAGGAATGTTCTTATCTTTTCTCCAGTTGCATTTGAACTTTTTTTCAGAATGTGTCTTTGAATCGACCCTTGTTTTTGCAAGTAAGAGAAAAAAAATGGGAGAGCAGAGAGAGAGAGAGAGAAAGAAAAAAAAATGAGAAGATGGCTCGGGTTGCCTAGCAACATGGTAGGCGGCGGATAAACAAAGCGCTTTTATTGCAACGTTGATTAATTTGAGTGTTTGACTTGGTCCAGTAGCGAGCTTCAAAAAAGTGTTCCGACATTTCTCATGAATAGGAAACATCTGAGTGAAAAACTAGAGATAGCAGCTTGACCCAAAAAAGTTCAAGATTGTTGGAACGGCGGTGGACAACAAGAAAATGATGATGGTGACGTCAAAACAAACATTTGTTGGTTTTCAAGTGGCCTGGTGGTGGTGGTGTTGGTTGAAGACTAGAATTGATCCGAAAATCTCGCCGTGCGATTTTCGTTTTGCGTCTTTTAGAAGCTTTGATTTGATTGGCTTTTTCAACTTTTTCTCAAAAATTTATAGTTGAATGCGTTGTTATGGTGCAGACTGGTTACCGATTGCCCTATCATTGCTGCGCAAATGGCCGAAACATTGGTTGCCTCACTTTTTGATCTGGGAAAAAAGACTCGCTCACACAAAAAAAGTAAGAGTTGAAGAAATTGAAAAGACGCTAATGCAAACATTTGATCAGGCGCTCGACATGAAGATTAGCACGTTTCAAAGGCTAGACGTTTTCTTCAATTTTTTTTCGTCAAGTTTTCTCAAGCTGTTAATTTTTTGACAAAATTTTACGAGGCGAACCTGAACGACACTCTTTCACGCCGCCCCCTCTCCCCCCTATCAACCTTTCACGTTTCACAAAAGCTTCAATTTTAAGAAGAAGGGGAAACAGTCAAGCTATATGTGCGCGTCAAGTTCTTTCACTTTATGTTTTCAAAGTATAGATGATTGCACTTTTCATCGTTCTCTAGTGTGTGCCACATTTTTAAGTTCCCATTTCTCACAATCCACGTCGATTATTGCTTGAAAAAAAAGATTTGAAAAAAACGACAAGGCAAAATTGAGTTTAACCCGCTTCATTTTAATACATATTTCACTTGAAATTTACCTTTTTGAGGATTTCGTCAAATTTTGTAATGAATAATTGACAAATTTCAAGGTCACGCAACTTGTTCAATTTGAATACATGTTCTCGGCTGCTCGACAGAACGCCGTCCTCCACTTTTCCGCTTGAGGCAAATTTTCGCCGGCAAAGCCATGTTCAACTCGAGGCGCATTGTTCAGGGTCAGTTCAATGTGATATTCATATGTGTATGTATTTAACGATTCACATCACATCTATTGATAATAAAAAAGACATAACATAAATCTTATTTTATTTCTCTTCGCATGACGACGATGCACATTACATGTATTAAGAGATTGCCAAATGCGAAAAATACCGGAAAATCCCTCTTAAAAACAGCTTTGGAGAGCGAAAAGTTTTGCTTCCTACAAAAGCCACGGATACACATGTATACTTATTCCCTTCTTCTTTTTCGTTTTTCCCCAAATTTGACACGCTCTCAATCATTATTCAAACTTTAAAAAAAAATTGAACTTCTCTAGGTGTAATTTTTTTAAGAAATGTTCCGGAAACTTCACTAAAATCTTTTACCGTTTGCACAAAACGTTTTCTTCGTTTTAATTGACATAATTCCCTCGATGATAAAAGTGCAAGTTTGCCGAATGTTGCTGATCGGGGCTGACAGGGCAGTCGGCCTGGCTCGCATGGACACCAGTGTCTGCGATGGCGGTAAGAAAACGCTGAAATGAAAACATATTGGAAAACAAACGATAAACAAGAAATTTTGCAGATCAGGAAGCCCAAAACCTCACCTACAAACCGGACGTCGTTGGTGTCACGTTGAGCAGGTATTACTATTCTGTCGACACTCTTCTAACCTGAAGCACCATTTTTCATAAGATGTGCGGCAAAAGTACCTTAAAGAACGCCCGCTTAAACTTCCCAGAAAACGCGCCAAACTTCACGGACACGGGCATACTGATTCCTAAAAACAGAAAAAATTAGCTGGAAAGTTGCACTCTCAAGTTTTATCGGGATGAGTGAACACCCAACAGTTCAGACCTGCAAGGACCCGTCCGGTTTGCACTGCGCGCAGTAGCGGATCTGCGATGTCTCCCTTTGGCCCTACTAGACCATTTTTGACCATGTTTTCTATTTAATGAAATGAACAAGGCTGTTTTCAACATTAATAAATAAAAAATTACACAGAAAAACGGCTTTTTATTCACTATAGATGAATTTATCAAATAACCATTTTTTTTGAGACTTACCGTTTGCAGAAACTTAATTTTTAAAACCTAATTTCAATCTTTGAATGTTCTAAAACCGTTTATTTTTTCGTACGTACGAAAAAGTCGTGATTAACGAAAACATCGCCCAAAAACCGCGATTGGTGTATAGTCAATGTTTCCCGACTTGAAAGGCGTGGGAGGCGTGGCAAGGGGCGGGACGCGCAGCGTGTGCGTACGCGGTTCTTGGCACGTGTTCAATTCAACCGCTAGCGAGCATTCAGAGAGCTTTATTTATTGCTCTTTTTCACTTGTTTTTTTAATTATTTATTGATTATGTTCATGTGTGCATCAAAAAAATAGAAGAAAATACAGAAAAAAAGAGCGGTGGCCGAGCTTTTTAAATAGACGGCGGCGATTGAATTGAACTGGCGCCAAGAACCGCGTACGCACACGCTACGCGTCCCGCCCCTTGCCCCGCCTCCCTCGCCTTTCAAGTCGGGAAACATTGACTATATGAACAAGGCAAACCTACAGGGTGCCAAACCTGAAGTTTTCGTTTAATCGCAAACCGCTACTCCCTGACGTCACTTGACATCATTCGTAACACAAGAAATAAACGTAATCAAAATATTTGGCTATATATCTATTTTATTTACGTGAAAAAAATTGAAAAAGGTGAAGAGTCTGAATTGCGCCTTTGCATAAAAAAACTGCGCCCACAAATTGCGTTTGTCAACGTTTTTGACTTTTTTTAGAAGATTTATAATATTTTTTTATTAATTATTATTCCATTCCCTATTTTTCAATTTTTTTAAATGGGAGTGTCACTAATTTCATAAAATGCCGATGGCTTTTTTTAAGCCCATTTTATCATGTTTTTTTAGAATTATTTCGAATAGTCGACTACGATGACAGGATTAGAAAGCTGTTTTTAGGATGTATGAATGAGCATGAACACTTTAAATCAACATGGTAATTTATTAGGTTGGCATGAAAGAAATGCGGCTCGTTTTTGTCGGCTTCTAATCTATCCAAGAAGTAATATTATTTTGAATGGTATTTTTTGTCAAAAAGGGCTTGTCCTTGTGCGTCATTGGATATATAATTTGCTGACGTTCATTCCGCCTTTCTATAAGAAACATAGCTCTGAAAACTTCCTTTCAAAAACTGTATTCGCAGAGCTAGTTTTCGCGTTATTTCAATAAGTACAAATCAAATTCGGAAGCTTGGCACCTTTCAATATTATGATCACCATTAGAGTTCACCAAACCGATCATTCAACCATTTCAATTGATCAAACTATTGACATGTCACTGTTCAACCAAATTTTAACATGTCATTTTTTGAGAGATCGTTTATTAAATCAGTTTTTGATCTCTTACATTAATGATCAATCATTGGATTTTAACGTTTTGATATATCGATATTTCGACCAATATATTCAATACAACACTGCGATCGATCATTTTTTCGACCAATATTTTCAATACAATATTTCGATTGATCATTTTTCGACCAAATTTCCAATAAAAAATTTCGATCAATCATTTTTTCGACCAATATTTTCAAAATTTTTCCGCTACATTGCTCAGACATGGCTCTTCGCATTTATCATCTGTCCGAATCATTGGATCGCTGAACAGCCAAAAAAAAAATTGAAAAACTCCGATGAAGTCCAAATTTGGGGGTGCAACTTCTTTGACTCGTAGGCGGCCCAGTTTGTCAGAGAGAGTATCCATTTTCTGCGTGAGCATTGTTGACAAGGGCTAATACAGATAGAAATTACATTTCGAATTGATTTATGATAACCTTATTTTTTTATGATAAATTTAAATGACATCAAAAACACGCATTTCTTTCCTGCTACCCTAATATTATACTGTTAATACTAAGGATGGTCAGTTTATCATTTTTTTTTTACTTGGAACCGATTATCAACGTTTATGCCAGTGATGAGCGGAATTTCCGTTTCCGTCTTCCGTTTCCGTCTTCCGCCTAGATTTCGGGTTCCGTTTCCGTGTCCGCCAGAAGGCCGAAAAAACTTTTTTTCCGTTTCCGCTAGAAGACGGAAAATTATCTTTTCCGTTTTCGTTTCCGCCACCTGACGGAGTTTTCTTCATTCCTATATCATTAATGCCGACTAAATTAAAGTATCGTCATTGTTATGTATAGTCTTTTTCTTCTCTCAATCACTAAGAATAACTGCCGAGATAAACGCGAGACGCTGGCGATACATTTAAGAACTCGCAAACATCTCGCATTTTTCTGGCAATTTGAAAGTTTCTGAAACTCAAGACAAACGCGAGTTTATTAATGTACCGCCACCGACCTTGCGTTTGTCTCGGCAGTTATTCTTAGTGGTGTTGCAACGAAGCTCCGATGCGATTTTGTGTTGTACGCACGTGACATAACACAGACGAGCATAAATTGATTCAAATCTTAAGTTATGCAATTAAAAAAAAAGATTTATCAACGTGAGATTTAAATCAATTTTATAAAAAAAAATTTTTGAATGGGTAGTACAACAAAATCTCAAGGGCGGAATTTCCGTTTCCGTTTCCGCCGACAGGCGGAAAAAAACGTCTTCCGCTCATCACTGGTATATGCTATGTATGTCAATTATCTATAGATACAGGATGAATCAGCCGCAGCGGGGTTTGGGGGCGGCAGACTTCAAAGTCAAAAAAAAAAAATCAGGATAAAAAAACTTAAAAAAATTCAAATTAAAAAAACCTCGACAAAGTAAAAAAATGTGACATTAGGGGAGTTTGGAAGCGCGTTTTTTTTAGCTGGGGGCGCAAGCCCAAAAACAATTATAAAAAAACTTTGAACAGTTTCTAAAAAAAGTAAGAAAATAGGGGAATAAAAAAATTTCCAATCAAAAGACGATTTTTGAATTCGATGTCTTCTCATGTGGCTGGGAAAGTTTTTACGTCGAAACTAATTTTATAAACTAGAACGTGAAAAATAAATAAAATAACATGGCTGCGTGTGCGAATTACTAAATGAAGATGATGTCATAAAGATAACGTCAGGTAACGCTCACGAATATTCGGGATCCCAAAATTCCTTCCTACCATCGTTGCGGACGAATTATTAGACTCGCGTTTTGTGAAAAATAACCCGATATCTGCTTACAATCGAGGATTTCTTTTCCGAAAATTTTTTAGGCAAACAAAAAAGACGCATGGGTATAGTCAATGTTTCCCGACTTGAAAGGCGAGGAAGGCGGGGCAGGGGCGGGACGCGTAGCGTGTGCGCTCGCGGTCCTTGGCACGTGTTCGATTCAACCGCCATCGACTCTTTGAAAAGCCCGTTTTTCGCTCTTTTCATTCCTTTTTCAATTATTTATTGATTATGTTCATGTGTGCATCAAAAAATAATAGAAAACATTGAAAAAAAGCGTTTGCCGAGCTTTTTAAATAGTCGGCGGCAATTGAACTGAACTCGTGCCAAGAACCGCGAAGCATTTCGCGATCAGAATTCGCAAATTATATATAAATAGAAAGTCTTTACGGCGAAAAAAACTTCTTGATGACAACAGAAAGAATTAATGGGGCGTTCATGAAAAAAATGACAATTGCTTCGAAACGCAAGAAAATTGCTTCAAATCAAAAATTAGTATTGTTTTGGAGCAACTTTAGCGCGCAGTTGATCAAGATTTTTCGTCTTTGCTGAAGTGTACTTTAGGACCCCCTGATTGCATATCAAAAAGAAAATTTCTCGCAATAGATCTTGTTTCGGAGTTATGAAGCTTCAAAGTGTACAAAATACGCAAATTAGGCCGAAGAAGCGCTATTTCGGGCTTTTGAAGTGTCCTATCTCGAAAACGAAATCTATTGCGAAAAATTTTCTTCCTGTTCTGGAATCAGGGGGTCCTAAAGTACACTTCGGCAAAGTTTCAGCAAAAGTTCAACCGGGGGGTAAAAAACGTTCCCTAGTGAGTTATATCGCAGGCTCAGAAGTCTCACGATGGTACCTCGAGAATACCTCTGAGGATTTTGTGCAAAGTAAGAGAGGCTTGAAACAGACTCATAGACGCCATTATAGATAGCACTCCCAAAAGTCTCCTCTTGGCGCATTCCGCGTGCGTGCGCGCGCCAATTCAAATTTCGTCTCTTGGACTAGATTTACAGGCTTCCAGTATATGGTTCTATGCCGTGTTCAATTTGATTCCGCGAAATGCAAAATACCCGTTAGAGAAAGGAAAAAGATCACTAAATTTTTGGAGAGTCAGAGATCATTTTGCATTTCGCGGAAATTACTTTGAACACGGCACTAGAAAGAATTCTTTTTTGTATAATTTTTTTCTTACTTATTCATTTCCAGTTTTTCTTTTTATTTAATATTGACTCATTTAGGGAATCTGACTTTATTTAAGAAAGTTTTTTTCTTGTTTTAGCGCCAATTCAAATTTTTCGCCTTCACTCACTTGCACAGGCAAATGGGAAAGGTACCATAATGTGCCCACAAATATACCTCTTAAAATGAATCTTGAATATTCCATAATATGTCCATCGTGAGACGTCGAGCATAAATTTTAGCTCTAGCTGACCAAGGAATGGTGTCTGGTCGCAGTTGGATTTCAGAATGAGACCCAGTTCACTAAATGAAGTTTTTCATGCTGTTTCCAAATCTGTTCTCAAAAAATGCCGCGCAGGTCCGTGAAAAAAAGTGGAAAAGTTTTTTTGAGCGGAGATAAGATTTTTCAAAGCTCCTCGCATGATAAGGAAATGTGCTGCTGGAAATTCATTCTTCGTTTCTCATGAGCGAATGGAGAACAACGTGTAAAGCTTATACAAATTTCAAAGGAAGTCTGAAAACAGAATGAATAAAAATTAGAAAACCGAAGTGACTAAAAACAATAATAATAAAAAAACCTGGGAAGCATTTCCAGGCTACTCGGTAGAAATCAAAAAAATTTCAGGTACTCTGCCCGTATATCAAGTTATCATAGATATGATACCCGGGTAAAATTAATTGGAAGTTTTTTTATGCAAGAAAAAAATTATACAAAAAAAGAACCATATACTGGAAGCCTGTAAATCTAGTCCAAGAGACGAAATTTGAATTGGCGCGCGCACGCACGCGGAATGCGCCAAAAGGAGACTTTTGGGAGTGCTATCTATAATGGCGTCTATTTTCTTCCTGTTCTGGAATCAGGGGGTCCTAAAGTACACTTCGGCAAAGTTTCAGCAAAAGTTCAACCGGGGGGTAAAAAACGTTCCCTAGTGAGTTATATCGCAGGCTCAGAAGTCTCACGATGGTACCTCGAGAATACCTCTGAGGATTTTGTGCAAAGTAAGAGAGGCTTGAAACAGACTCTAAAGTACCTCTGAGATGGCTCAGATATAGCTAAAAGGTATGCCGGAAGTCTCACGATGAACCCATTATGGGGCCTTCACGATCCATTTTTAGAAGTACCTTTGTGGACACATTATGGAACTTTCTCGATTCGTTTGGGAACGCTCTTCTAGCGGGAGCTCAGACTTTTCTTTTTCCGATTTCGGGTATTTATCTCCGAAAATGGTAGCTTTTTTACATTTTCAAGTATACCATCGAGTGCTTTACAAAATGGCAGATTTATGTCAAACCCCGCATTTTACTGCCTCTTTTAGCACCGGTTTTAACTTATGATGAAATTTTTCGGAAATATGCGTTTAGGCCTAATTTCAGAAAAAGTAGAAAATTTCTCGCAATAGATACTTTTCGATCGATGGAGCTTCAGATTTTGCGAAATGTGCGAATTAGGACAGAAAAAGCGCTATTGGATAAAGCACTTGAAGACATAGGGGCAGTAAAAAATGGGGTTTCAGGTGAAAGCAGTATCATATATAGTTTTTCCTTGTGAATCGGTGTACTCAAAAAAATTACAGATGTGACAACTTTAGAAGAAAAACGCGATTTTACTTTCCCTCCTTTAATTTTGAAATATGCTTTGGATCGGTATACATACAACTGTTTACAGTAGCCGTGCACTCGATGTTGCGGACGTCTCATTAGACTCGCATTTTGTGAGAAATAACCGGATATCTGCTTCAAATTTAGGGTTTCTTGTCTGAAAAAATAAATTAAGTCAAACAAAAAACAGACACCGATAATAAAGGAAACACAAAATATCGCTATCCCAATCGAAACCTGTGTGTAATCATCCTTTTTCACCAGAAAAGCATTTTGCGAACAAAGTTCGCAAATTTCTTATATATAGAAACTTTTGAGGACGAAAAGAATTTTAGTGACAACAGAAAAAATTGAAAACTGAAAGAAACGAAGAAAAAAGCGAAAATGCGAAAAATGGCGTAGCGTGTTGTCCATAGAGCAACTTTACTGCAAAACCTCCAAATCTAGGAAGTTAGGTAGGTTTCCAAGTTCATCGTTCGATTCGCAATGAAAAGCTCTACAAAGTACTGCTTTTATCTGAAACACCGTTTTTTATTGCCCCTATGCCATATAGTAAACTGTCGATTTACGCGGATGATTGCAAAGTAATGATTAGAAGTTCTGTTCCAGGATATCAAAACAAGCTACAAGAGGATCTCCATTCTATTGAAAATTTTCTTGCAGATAGACAGTTCATACTTTCAGCAAATAAAAGTCTCCATGTTAGTTATGGGAAACGAGTTCGAAGTGTTGCGAGTTACGAGCTTAATGGTATAAAAGTAAACAACGAGGATTGTGTGGAAGATCTCGGAGTTATTTTTTCATCTAACCTCAAAATGCATAATAACATTGAAGTTACCGTTAAAAAAAACTATGCGTATTATAAACAACCTATTCCGCTGTTTCAGCTTCTCGAAAAAAATCTTCTTGACTTGCTATAAGGCCAAGGTACTTCCCACTCTAGAGTATGGTTCGGAACTAAGGGAATACGACATTTCACATAATGAAAATTCACATAATGACAATTCACATAATGACAATTCACATAATGACATTTCACATAATGCGACATCTCACATAATGCGACATCTCACATAATGTCATTTCACATAATGTGACATTTCCCATAATGACAGTTCACATAATGGCATCACACATACAGCGACTTTTCACATAATATGAAGTTTCACATAATGCTCTTTTTTTTGCCAACAAGATTAACATAAATCTTGGTTTACTTGAACGATGGGGACGTTATAGGTGGGCGAAGCCTTTTTTTCGGTCTTTTTTTTATAAAGTTATAATTGAATACTCTTTGATATTTAGTATGGATATATATACATTTTTGCTTATGCATTTTGCTTGAAAAGTTATTATTTACAAAAAGCCTAACTGAGTGACTTGGTAAATATATAGAGGTCACACATCGTGCTCTCCTCGTCATCGCACATTTTTTTTTCGCTCCTGAGGGTTGAAGGAAACGTCTCGATACTGACGACGTTGATACCGGCTTCTGACCAGGTCACACATCATGCTCTAACTCTTCTTGGCCATCCGCGAACCAACAACAGCGTTGAGGGCTCTCACGATCGTCTTAAGTCGTTCCTGAACGTGAACAAGCCAGGCTTCTTTGTTCTTCTCCACAAGCTGCAATCCTACTTGCAATCAATCGAAGCGGATCTGATAGATTTGAAACAAGCCGGCAAGGTGAGCGTAACATGGCAGACACTGGAAAACAAAAAAAAAAGCGGCCCTCGAACTTTATGACATTGAGAAAGACTTGCCGCAGCTTATGACAGTCCTAGCCAGTTGTTTAGGCTTTTTGTAAATAATGATTTCAAAATAAAAATGCATAAGCAAACATTTATGTAAATATTTCTATGAATATTTGAAAAAAACGAAAAAATGTTTTTCCTTCATCTTCATTTTTTATAAAAAATAAAGATATTAAATCAAAATTCAACCTTAATACATTATCCAAGCCACTTCTTTAGGCTTTTTTTGAAAATAATAACTTGCATAAGCAAAAAAATGTATGTAGATATTTCAAAGAGTATTTAATTAATATTTACAAAACAAAAAAAGAAATGCTTTTGCCCCACCTGTAACGTCCCCGTCGTGCAAAGCGGAAACGGATGAAAAAGTCCGGCTAATGACAGGTCTGATAATAGAGAAAAAAAAAAAATAAATACATGAAAAATTTTGAGAACCCTCTAGGCAAAAGCATAAAAAGCATTATGTGAAAAGTCGCCTTATGTGAAATTTCATTATGTGAAAAGTCGCATTATGTGAAATTTCATTATGTGAAAAGTCGCATTATGTGAATTGTCATTATGTGAAGAGTCGTATTATGTTAACTCACGGTGTTCCACGCAATGAAAAAAAAAATGCGAAAATATGGGTCCCAGCGGCATATTATCCGTGGCGCATTATTGCGCCCTTCTCATGGTTTCTGATGCAAAAATTGAATTTCTTCACTTTTTTCATTGGTTTTTTACTTTTTTCTATTTCTTGCAATTATGTGATCCGCCTCTCTATGGGTACATCTTGTGGAGCTTTAAATTGCGCACTTTTCTAAACCGGTTTCAGATCTTTAACTTTTCTCTCAAAAGAGTTGAAGATTTTTCTAAAAGTCCTGATTTTTCAAAATTTTGAAATCTGTTTCGCGACATGAAAAGAATCACTCTATTTCGGAAACTATAGTTTTTAATTTAATCAGTTAATAATAAAAAGTATTATCTAGTTCCTTTGACGTAGTTTGAAACCGGTTTCGTGTAAATCAGAGCCAAATTGAATTTGCTGATGATTTTGATATATGCATCATCTAAATCATATATTTTTTTCTAGTTTTTTGATTGTTTTTCGGATTTAAACAAAAATTTCGCCATACGAGGTTTTTTTCTAAAATTTCTGCTTTCTATCCATTATTTGTTTTTCTGAAGTTAGGTTTTCGAGGTATATAAAATGTTTTTTTTTCATTTGCTATTCGAATTTCCCTCATTTCAATACTTTTCGTATTTATAAATGCTTATTCAATGGGAGCTGATTCATTTTCATAATATTTTTTGTTTTTACTTTGTAATCAGTAATTTAGAGTTTCCCCTTTCGAAATCGTTCCTAAATGTTTTTTTAACGTAAGTGAATTTTTTTTTCACATCATATTCTTCAAACTGACAACTTTCGAACATTTCAGGAGCTATTATCCTGAAATTGCAAATTCTAAAATTGAAAAAAAACATTTCGAGTATGCGATATTGCGTCTCGGTGTGCTTACACCCTAAGCATCATAATTACGAAAAGTCTTGACCTTGTGTAATGAAAAAAACACCGTGAACTGTCGGGTTATGTGAAATGTCATTATGTGAATTGTCGTATTATGTGAAATGCCATTATGTGAAATGGCATTATGTGAAATGGCATTATGTGAATTGTCATTATGTGAAATGGCATTATGGGAAATGTCGTACACTAATGTGTCCATTGACAAAGTCAGATTTTGATTGATTAGAAGCTTGTCGAATGACGTCATTCTACTTGACATTCAAAATCTGAATAGACTATAATGAACGGTTAAAACTGTTAGGTCTTCAACCTCTTTGGTTTAGGCGTTTAGCTAAGGATCTGGTATTATCACATCAGTTTTTGCATAGTAAGTGCTGGTCAGACTCTCCCATCAAGGTACAAAACATCTTTGACCGTCCCAGTCAACTCAGAGGAATGGTTTTAAATTAATAAAAACGAAACCTTCACTGGTTTTCTTCAATTTCTTATCGCATTACTAATGTTTGGAATGACATTGAACATGAATTATTGGCAGAGGAAGACAAGAAAAAATTTAAGGACATGTTTGTAGTGAATGCAGAAAATGTTGGCATCGAGCATATTCTTTCAAGTGTTCACAGATTTGTGCCATAATCAACTTGGTTTTAAATATCTACTTATTATGATTCTATGTTTCTTTTCTCACAAAAAAACTTTTTTCTTTACAGGTGGGGTTAGTTAATCCACCTAATGGTCTTTTTCTCTCCCTGCAACATCACCATACCATCCCGATGTTGCGAAAAATGAAATGATTGAATAGTGAAATTCAGCTTTGAGATTTTTTTCTGAGTTTACTCAAAAAGCATCCATTTTTTGTCGCCTGTTCCTAAATCTGCGTTTTCGATAGCATTTTCAATTCAATCAGCGTTTTTAACATCAGTTTTTCCTCAAAAAGGAAACATTTGGTTAACATAAAAATTTTTTTTCTGTTTGAACCAATATAGGTCATTCCGCGCCAGCTTGTCACGATTTCCAGTTTATTTGGAGCTAGAGTAGCCTTTTCGGCGCTTCGCTTCGATGCTCTCGGTGTGCCCCCTTGCGTGCGCCTTTAATAAAACTCATTATTTTCGAACTTTGGAATTTTCCTATTCTACAAAAACAGATGTAACATCAAATTTTATATCAAAATAACCCAAAAACTATATGCAAGAAAAGCTCGAACAGCCGGTTTCATTAATAACAATTAAAAAGTAGTAATTCAATCTTTTTGATTTTCGTTTTTTCTTACAAATCCAGCACAGAATCTGAGTGTGTATAGTCAAAGCGAAAAATGAAATCAATCCATTGAAAACAACCTCGTAAATTAATAGAAGAGTGAGAGGAAATTGAAGCAATATCTTAATCAGAAATAATGTTTTATTAAAGGCGCACGCAAGGGGGAACACCGGGAGCATTGAAGCGAAGCGCCGAAAGGGGTTCTGTAGCTAAGAGGAAAGTTAAAATCGTGACAAGCTGGCGCGGAATGACCTATATCCATATTTCATTGGAAAGTCTCAGAAAACAGTTTTCTGAAAAAAATAATCGAGTTAATAAACTACATGTACCAACCAACCTTCAAATTCAGGAAAGAGCTGTGCTTCGTCGTGACCATGTACGTGGTGGCGGTGACGATCCTCGTTTTCACGTTTGAATTTCTTAAACCGTCGCTCCTTGGTAAATATCTTTTTGAAACATCGAAACCGTAGAAAATTTTGTTGATGACGATTATGCCCGCATGTTTCTTTTTTGTGAACCTAGTAAACTTGATTTCGACTCGTTTTGAGCTGTGAAAAGAAATACAAACTTTGGAGCGAATGATTGTACAAGAATCATAGAAGTTGAAGGCATAGGGGCAGTAAAAACAGAGTTTCGGGTAAAAGCAGTATCACGGTGTTCCGCGCAATGAAAAAAAAATGCGAAATTTTGCAGCATATTATCCGTGGCGCATCATTGCGCCCTTCTCATGGTTTCTGATGCAACAATTGAATTTCTTCACTTTTTTCATTGGATCTTTAACTTTTTTCTCAAAAGAGTTCAAGACTTTTTCTAAAAGTCCTAATTTTTTTCAAAAATTTTGAAATCTGTTTCGCGACATGAAAAAGAGTCACTCTAATTCGGAAACTATAGTTTTTTTAACTTAATCAGTTAATTTTTTTAGGCACAATGTGGATTTGTGTAAAAGTTATTATCTAGTTCCTTTGACGTAGTTTGAAACCGGTTTCGTGTGAATTAGAGCCAAATTGAATTTGCTGATCCAGTTTGATGATTTTGTTATATGAATCATTGAAATTAAATATTTTTTTCTAGTTTTTGATGGTTTTTCGGATTTAAACAAACATTTCGACATACGAGGTTTTTTTCTAAAATTTCTGCTTTCTATACATTATTTGTTATTCTGAAGCTAGGTTTTTAAGGTATATAAAATGTTCCTTTTTTTCATTTCATTTTTTCATAATATTTTTTTCGTATTTATAAAAAAAACTGTTTATTGCATCTTCAATGTGAGAATACATGTGCAATCGACTTTCATTGAGTTAACTGTGTTTAAACGGCGGCAGGAGCTGTGGCTTAAGCAGAGAAGTTTTGAATTTCGCTCGTAGAACATCAGGTACAAGAGAGGTCGTAGGAAGAAGTACGGTGCCGGCTTTCCAAAGGCCGATGGCAGAGATTAAGGCCGATTCTTTTCCGAACCATGATTTTCCGAACCAAAATCCGAACCAATGCTTAGGCGAACCAATGATTAGACGAACCACCTCATGCTTACCAGAACCAAAAGTTTTTATGATTCGCCGAACCAAATGTCGGTATTTTATGTAGATGTTCATGGTAATCGGTTTTCGTTTCTCGCATCCTAAGAGACCGAGAATATGAAGTCTAGCGCTCCATCCTTTTCCGAATCGTTATATAACTTTCCGACCTAACCTTTTTATGCTTTTCGAGCCGTACTTCGATTCATTTTTCAGAAAGCACCTTTCTTTAGATCTGCTCATTTTTGATCGGTTCTATGTAATTTTTTTCGCCCATAACCGGCTTTCAGCTTTACCCTTGACTATTTAGATACCTCTGTTCAGATCAGATTCTTTCAAAAATTTGTTTGATTCCAACCCAAGTTTGAAATTGGAAGTATCTGGTCTATGACTTCTTTTGAAGTCGTCTGACGAAGAGATGCTATCAGCTCATAGTGGGACTTCTGAATGAGACCATGTTTTCCAGGTGTAGTTTTCCATGCTGATTTCAAATCCGGTCTCAAAAGCTGCCACGGGAGTCTGTGAAAAAAGTTATGGACCCTCAAATGTCGACAATTTCATAGTCTCCGATCGAGCTCATTTTTCTGAACGGTATGTAGATCCTGTGTGAGCGTAGAAATGAAGTCGGCACAGATACTGTCAAGTTTCCTAATCTTGGCATGAATTTTCAGATTTTCTAAATTTTTTTGATTATTTTTTCTCAGTCAGTCAATCATTTTATAGTTTTACTCACAGATATTATCGACTGAGCTGTGTGCAAGAGCTTTTGAAGCCCCATTCAAAATCGTCTCAGGCGAATTTGATGTCCAAATTTGTAGTCCAAAGAGTTAAAAGCATTGTCTGACGGTCCTCCTTCTGATCATAGTTCATCCTGTTGCGCTATGACGAGCTCACTTTTTAAAAAGCAAGGAGATCGTGTTCTAGGTCAAATCCCAAACTTATAGTTTGTAGATTAATCTCAGGTTTTTTTCCTGGCTGGAAATTTATGAAATAATTGCTAAGTTTTTTCTGTATATTGTCAGATATTTTTTTCTACTGTCAATTTCTGAACAGGTTTCGCATTAGCGCGGGCGATAGTCATTTAAAAATAGCTCCGCGAGATTTATGCCGTGTTCAAAGTAATTTCCGCGAAATGCGAAATTGTCTCTGACCCTCCAAAAATTTAGTTATCTTTCTCTTTCTCTGACGGCTATTTTTGAATTTCGCGGAATCACTTTGAACACGGCATTACCTAATAAATGAGCTTGACTAAAACTAGTTCTCAGTCGTTGCATACATAGAACTATTCAGAAAAATCAGCTAACGGCTTATTAGTAGAAAATTCATTTATTTTTTTAATTTTTTTAAATTTTCCAATAATTCAAAAACGCGTCTCCAGAAGAAATCTTATCTTTTTCAGATGGTTACACAGTCTAAGAACCACTTCGAAATACATTCAGAGTTCAGAGTGTGTTGCGAAACAGTATTTGCAAACGGTCACGCGGAAGAGGACACTCAAGCAGAATTCACCCATCCGAGAACCCATCAAGCTGTTTTCTTTCGAACTTCAGTATTTTCATCCGAAACATGCGAAACGAAAAAAAAAAATCAAAGCCCAAGCTCATTGACTTTATCAATTGAGACCTTCCGATTAACATTGAAAAACTGGAGCACTAAGAGATCGAAGTTTTTAAAAAACGAAAAAGGAAAAAAAAGACTGTATTAAAGGGTCTGAGGAGGTCCCAAAGACTCTTAAAGTTTTCTCAAAAACCATTGATATAATTTTCTTCAGTCTTGAGAACGAGTGACAAGAAGTGCGATAAAAATCCTCCGAATAAAAAAACATTTCAAAAAGATCTCTGGCTCTCCAAAACCTTCGTTTTTTTTTTCTTTTTGACGGTCTTTTCGCTGGAATCACTTCGAAAGCGGTATAAAGACACGACACTCCTTTTTCCCGATATAATTATTCAAACTTTGAAAAGCTTGATTGACATGAAAAAAATTGATGCGAAAAAAATTTAACTTTTTGGGCCTAAAAATATTTTTTTGGAAACAAGTGAAAAAAACTTTGATAAAAAAATTTTTAAAACATCAATTTTTTTCTCATTGTAGAACATCAGTGGTTAGAATATCTGAATAAAAAAAAATATAAAAATACAAAGCTAAATCATCCAAATTTTAGGCCAGATTTTTTTTTTAATGGAGATTCAGCGTCGATAATTTTAAGTAATTTCATTGTAGAAAGAAAAAACCCATAATGTAAAAAGTCAAAATGATAAAAGCAAAGAAGAGCAGAAAAAAAAACACGCCAGAAGCTTATTTCTGGCGATGGAAAGACAAAATTTTCGAAAACTGGCAATTATCCAAGTGTACGGGAACATAGGGTCCCAAAGCGATGAGACAGCGCGCCAAAACTCTTGGCGCCTGCTTAAATTACGTTTTTTAGTTGTGTTTTTTCTTCAATGTTTCTTTTTCAATTCTTGTGTTTTCTTTATAGTTTCATCAATTATTTCTTGATATTAGTATTTTGTTATGCTCATTGTTTTTTTTATCACATTTATACGCAGGTTTCACATCGTTTCAAGAAACATTTTAGGCCCAAAAAAATTTAATATCGATTTTTCGTCAATTAAATTTTTTTATTTGATTTCTCTATCAAGATTCATGAATATTGCATATTATTTTTGGCAAAAAAATATTACCGTGTCATAACGACTGTAAATTTAAATTTTTTTAATTTGAAAACTTTCTTTCTTTTTATCCTCATGATTTCAAAAAAAGGCTATCAAAGGGATTTTTCAGAGAGCTTCCAGAGTTTCTGAGACCTTTCGAGACCCCTTAATACAGCCTTTTTCGGAGAATCTCAATTGATAAAGTCAATGAAATTGAGCTTTAATTTTTCGCCTGCTTCGGAAGAAACCAGTGAAGTTCGGTAGAACAGCTTGATGGGTGCTCAAATGCCTGAATTCTGCTTGAGACTCTTCTTCCGCGTGACCGTCTGCAAATCTTGTTTCGCGAAACACTCTGAACTCTGAATGAATTTCGAAGTGGAAAACTGAAAAAAAAAAATTCAAAAGCCGATAGCCGATAGCCGATTTTTTTGCATTCTGAATAGTTCTATGTACGCAACGACTGAGAACTAGTTTTAGTCAAGCTTTTTTATTAGGAAAATCTCGCGAAGCTATTCTCAAATGACTGTCACCGTCGATCTCGAAAAACGCTCAGAAATGGACAGTCGAATCGCCATCTGACAATTTACAGAAAACAAAAAAAAACTTGGCAATAATTTCAAAAGTTCTAACTAGAGAAAAAAAAAACTGAGATTGAACTATAAATTATGAGCTTTTAGAACAGTTTTGAAAAATGAACTGTAAGTTCTGTTCTTAGAAAAGGTTTGAGAAGGCCTAAAGATCAGCTCTTCTTTTAAAACTCTTCACTAGAAGTGATATCTTTGATTTCAAAAATTTCACCTAAAGCACGAGCTTCGCGCGTGAAACGAGGAACCGTCAGACAATTCTATCCTATTCTTCGACTACAAATTTGGACTTCCAGTTCGATGAAGTTTGAGAAGCTCTTGCATCCAGCTCAGTCGATAATTTATATGTGACTAAACAACGAAATAAATGACTGACTGAAAAAAAAATAGGTAAAAAAATATAAACACTAATGCCAAGATTAGGACACTTGGCAGTATCTGTGGCGACTTCATTTCTACTCTCAGACGACCCTAAAAGAAGTCATAGACCAGATACTTCCAATTTCAAACTTGGGTTGGAATCAAACAAATTTTTGAAAGAATCTGATCTGAACAGAGGTATCTAAATAGTCAAGGGTAAAGCTGAAAGCCGGTTATGGGCGAAAAAAATTACATAGAACCGATCAAAAATGAGCAGATCTAAAGAAATGTGCTTTCTGAAAAATGAATCGAAGTACGGCTCGAAAAGCATAAAAAGGTTAGGTCGGAAAGTTATATAACGATT